ATTAGTTTTACAGATTAGATAGTTTTCCTGAAACTTGTAAAATGTAATCGACGTTTGATGATGAATAAAATTTGTGATTTATTTATGAGTAAAGTGTTACTATCATTGTCAATTATTTACTATTGTTTCAGTTTTGCATGTTTTGACTTCCAGAATAATTAATTTATTCAAACCTCCACAATCGATCATACGTCGGAAGTAGGTATGAATCAAGATTGTCATGAATTGGGTTTGTAGATGCCTTAAAGGTGTTTAGACATGGCAATGGTTGCTGCAACATTCATGAGTACTCATAAGTTATGAGTATTGGTATAAACCCACGCTCACTTGTATCACTTCATGGAATTTATCTCGAGTGATCGTGAGACGATAACATCATATAAATCTTTAAACCTAGAGATATGAGTTGTTACCTATGAGTTGGTTGTGCATTGATTGCACGTAAACGCATCAGTAACTTGATGTTATAAAACGTGCCTTTGTGTACAATTCAATAAGTAGTAGAACAAGCATATCAGTCGAAGTTTATCTGTTCCTTCTAGAAATAGAAGCGATATCTGGGCCCCTCGATGATTTTGTGTTGACCCATGTACCAGGCCTGGTCAGAACTAAACCGATGTGTTCAGTGAAGTTCTTCGTCAAACAAATCGGAAAATCGAGAAACAACTGCTAGACAATAAGCAAGACATAGTTCCATGTGTTTGTCCGGCTGATATCATGAGAACAGAGGATTATGTGATCACTTATCTAAAATGGCGCTTCATAGTTCGACAGAGTCTTCATTGTTCGAGGGAGTTTTCGAGAGCTACGATTGTTGGTTGGTTCCTGAAGTTATAGGCAAATATAGTTATTAGACTTATCCAAGTGGGAGTCTGTTGGATAAGGTGTCTAAGTCCATAACTTATTTGGTATATACTTGACCCGACCGGCATGGTCCATTTGGGTTGCATCTCATCCAAACTATTATGGATAATTTTATGAGAGTTATACACATATGTTTATTAATATATTATGAGTTATAATATATTAATATGAAGTTACGTTATTTAATTAGTTTTAGTCTTAAATTAATTATGAATTAATTTAGAGATTAAAAGGAATACTAATTAATTATGGGCTATTTGTTTTATATAGTGTGGGCTAATACTCATTTGTTAATGGGCTAGGCTTATGTGGAAGTCCATGGATGATCCATGGAGCTTTTAACCCATGGATCCTTGGAAAGGAAAAGACATGGGTTATTAGGGTTTCACCCTAACCATGCACACTATATAAGCATGCTTATGGAGCATGAAATGGAGCCTAAGAGAAAACTAGTGAACTAGTGTGTGTGTGCATGTGTGTGGCCGATTTTATACAAGGTGTATACTCTCTCAAAGTTTTCCAAGAGTTTGTGGTGTTTGTGATTCCATTTGAGGCATTCACACTATTGGTGCTTGGCCCTCAAACTCCTTAGAACCAAACTCACCAAAAGGTATGTAATCTCTTCTAACTCTTTTATGTTGAAATGTTCCCCATGCCATGTTAGATAGGTTATAAACCTTGGAAAATTATTATTTTGCATGTATTTAGACAAACATAGATCCAAGGTTTATTAGGGTTGCATGCACACTTAGGAAGTGTTAGATTGCTCAAAACCCAACAGTGGTATCAGAGCCTAGGCTTGCTTGTTTGATACTTGATGCAAAATAGTGAAAAAAGTCGAAATCGTTGCTGTCTGCATGGTGGACTCGCCGAGTCCATTGGGGGGACTCGACGAGTCCAAGGCAAACTTCAACCTACTCGACGAGTCAGTTCATGCACTCGACGAGTAGGATCGAAAGAGTGCAGATTCTCGACTTTTGCTGCTGGAAATGGACTAGAAACATTACCCTAAACTGTTTTGGTGTTATAAAACTTATTTTAGTTGGTGTAATGGTTGTTCTAATCCATTTACAATAGCATATATCAAAATTCCATGATTTTATGTGTTCATATAATTCTTGAATTTTTGATGATCATGTTCATGTTCTTATGAATTTAGAAAATGATAGGAATTATTTGCTGAATTGTTTAGGATTAATTCTTTATCATTTATGTGTTTTAATGGAGTCCATAATTTGTCCTCAAGTTATGGATTACCAAAGGTCACTTTCATTTAACACACACTTAAAACACATAAGTTACATGAAAATGAAGAGTCTTCATTTTTATGAACCTTTAATTCATAAGTTATGAAATGAAGAGTTTTGCAAAGTTACAAAACTTGCCCTCAAGTTTTGGAATTTGTAAAGTTTCACACACTTTAATAAACTTTAATTCCAAACCTTAGAGTTTTAATAGTTAAAATTCAACCCTTATACTATTTATAACATTAATGGTTAATTATTATATATATGTATAAGAATAAGTCGTTTTACCGTTAGTAGGCCTCATTCACGAAGCCGGTCTATAAGGTGGGTATAAGGTTGTTGCCTATAAAATGGCGACTTAATGGGTGTATACTCTCACCCACCGCTTGCTTGATCGGTGGAGGGTCGTTAGCCGAACGGGTAGAACAATGACTTTAAATCCTCATTAAAAGTATAATGAATATTATAAAATAACTAAACTCTTTTAATTCCCAATCTTAGTTATTTTAGGAAAAATGTGAACATGGTGCTAGTCCATGGAATTCACACTTTGTACCTTACCAAGTCGTTGGTGGAGCGTGTGTGGTTAACCGGCACACTAACTAGGACTAGTAAGGATCACGAAGGGTGACTTAATGTTTGTCATAGATCAATGGAGCGTGTGTGGTTAACCGGCACATTGATTAGGTGATAATATTAAGAGTACCAAGTGAATTAGCATGGTTATTCACACCTTGTTTTGTGATCCTCGGCATCCCAGTCACAAAACTTGAAGGGCACAATCGAGATTGAAACATGCCATTGAAAAGTTCAATGAATCTCAAAAGAATCTAGGAATTTCAAATCCAATTAAACCTAATAAATCATTTCGTTTTCATGGTGGAAATTGGTGAATCGTCATTCACCTACCTTTCAAATATATTATTACTTAGATTACGGCATCCCTCTTCTAAGTGTAATATATTGTGATTGGATCCTAGCCTTAATATTACATTTGGGTGTCTTATTAAGGATCCTAAATATCTAATCTAAACTTACTTTCTTCTTTCAGATGTCTTCCAACACTAATGCTTCAGGCTCTAACCCAACTGGTTCTTTCTCTCTCATGAATCTTTGTGGGAGGGTCATCTTTGATGGTTCCAACTTCATGGATTGGATTAGGAACATCAGGATGGTTACTCGTTACGAGGACAAGGAATATGTCCTCGATAAGGAGTTAAAAGAACTTGATGAGTCTACTGCTACTCCTGAGGAGATCGCTGAATTCAGGACTCATGAGAGAGATGCTACTAAGGTGGCATGTATCATGATGGCCACGATGACAGCCGAGCTCCAAAAGTCGTATGAAGATTTCTACCCTTTTGAGATGCACCAAGACCTGATGGAAAGGTACCATCAGAGTGCTCGTCAGGAGCGGTATGAAATAATCTCCTCCATAATAACTACCGCATGAAGGATGGTGAATCCGTCACGGGCCACATGCAAAAGATGCAAAGGTATGTGGACCGTTTGCTGAAGCTGAATGTTAACATCCCCGAGGAGTTGGCAATTGACATCATTTTGCACTCCTTGCCTTCTTGTTATGATCATTTTCGAATGACATATCATATGAACAAGGAGGAAGTTACCCTCAGCAAGCTTCAAGGACTCTTGAAGACCGCTGAAACCGGTCTTAAGGGTAAAGCGGTTGTTACCTCTACTACTCCTACTCCAACTTCTACCCCTGTTTTAGCTATTGGGCAAGGCAAAAGGAAAAAGAGGAAGCACCCTTCGAAGGGTACCAAGGGAAAGTCTCTTGAAGGCTCCTCATCAAAGACTAAGAACGGTTCTGTCACTCCTTCTGCCATTCCCAAGGATGCTGAATGCTTTTATTGCCATGAAAAGGCACACTGGAAGCGAAACTGCCCTAAGTACTTGCAGGATCTAAAGGATGGGAAAGTGAAACCCACCTATGCAGGTATTTACACTATATTGTCTAATTACTCAACATATTCTAACTCTTGGGTGCTTGATACAGGATGTGGTATTCACATATGTTCTGATTTGCAGGGCCTAAGAAGAAGTGAGGATGTGGAGCATGGGAAGATAAACTTAATCATGGGGAATAGGAAGGCTTCACCTGTTTCCAAGATTGGAGTTTATACTTTGTTGCTTAATAATGGGTTAAAATTAGATTTGAATAAATGTGTGTACTCGTCTGAAATGGCGAGGAATATTATTTCTTTTCATGCTTTGTACAAACAAGGTTTTACCTTTTCGTTTGATAATGAATGTGGTGGTATTAATGCTTTCTTTAATAATGTGTTTTATTTTAAAGCATTACCTTGTGATGGTGTGTATGAAACTGTGTCGATTGTAGATAACTTAGGAAATAATGTGTTGTATATTGATTCTTCTACTAGCCTAGATAAAGCATCATTGTGGCATTGTCGTCTTGGACATGTAAACAAGAAACGCATAGGCCAACTCCAAAAGAGTGGAGTCTTGGAATCATTTGACCTCATATCAGATGATAGTTAAAATAGATTGAAAATGGTCATACTTCCCCTGTTGCTACTAGGCCTGTGATTAATGTTGATGGTGATGGTAAGAATGGAAGTGGCAAACTACCCTTGATCCGATGGTAAGAGAGTCAGGGGTTCTGCTGCCTTTGCTGCTCTGGTAGCTGTTTTATCAGGTGGAGAGAGTAGTAGTGGTAGAGTTCTCAAGAGGTCTCGTTCCTTGAAACCCAATGGTTTTCATGATTTCGCTAGCAAACTCGATGTTAACAATCCATTGTCATATGTGTCTCAATTGAATATGAACACTTCGCCTCATGGAATTGATGCTTCACATCCAGCTGGTCCTATTTATGTTCCTTCTTAAGAACATAGGCGGGATCAAAGTTTGATGGAGCCAAAGGTTTCCATGTCTTTCTTTAAGGAATTTTCTTCTCTGAGGACCCGTTCAAGTGTTAGCCAAGGTTGTAGAGATCACATTCGTGATATGTATAAGATTAAGCATATGGAAAATATAGTTCTGGGCCAAGAGATCATTTTGTGGTTTAATAAAAATAAGGTGTTGCACTTAGAGAATCGTATTCTGCATGATGAGTTCAAGAAGATATCTGATCTGATTAAACCGTTTGTGGTTTTGTCTGGAGAAGTTGCTCATAACATGCAATTGTTTCGTGATCAACATGAAGCTTGTGGAAAAAGTTTTTGAGTTGGAAAAGGTTGTACCAAATATAGGAACGATGTCTCAGAGTGAAGTGGATAAGGTGAGAGATGAACTAGCCATTGTCTAAAATGAGAAAGTTGTATTGGAAAGTAAACTAACTGGTTATGATGATGTTGTCGAGGAAGTTTCGACGTTAAAGGCAACAGTGGCATCTCTTGAGTTGGAGAAGACCAGGTTGTTAGACATAATAGGTATGTTAGAACACAATATTCGGAAGTTAAAGGGTGACTTGAATGAGTCTACCCTATGAAATATGGATTTCCAAGCAAGTGTTGTGGGGCTAGCCGAACAGAGTGAATGGGGATGTGACTTGGGTATTATCCCTTGGAATTGCGAAATTGGTTGACAAAATTGACATTGAGTCATCATTTTTTGAGGCCAACTATGATCTGCAAACTATTTGTGTTGATTTTGGCAGGAGGGCTGGCTGCGAGATGATGAACACTGAGTTTAATATGGGACTGCTTGTGACCAACCTTCCGTTATATGATCCCACCTGTGTGTAGAAGATGGAGAAGACATTTTCTTCATTTTTTTGTGCATATTATTTGTTTGAGTTTGGATTTCCTTTGAAAAGTGTTGAGCAGTTGCATGTGTTGGTGGATCGTATTGGTGGCAACGTTGCTTCTACAAGTGGGCATGGTGGGAACGACGAGCCATGAAAGGTATGGTGTGTGGTATGAGGCTCTTGGTATAGGTGTGGGTATTTGTTGAATCACGAATGTTGGTTTATGGGTTTTTTGAATCTGAACATGTTTCTGTTTTTTTTTTTTTTTAATTTTGTTGTTTAGTTTTTTGTGCTTAACATTTGTGATGATCGAATTGATGTAACCGGGTTGTATGGCAATGTGCACTACAACACATATTTCTAATCTTTGACTACGTGACTCCAATTTATTATGTGTTAAACTTAAAAGTTTCCTTCGTACTATCTTTCTTCATATGCGTGATCCTTTTGTGCCCCTTTTTTTGTGGGTTGTGTAGACCTTTGGTTGGCACTTTCTCCATTTTTCGTGCGTTGAATTGGGATTATATCTTTATTCTGGAATTTTAAAACTGTAATGAAAATATGTATCATCTTGTAAGGCGGTATTGTTAGAATAGGAATTTTTTTCTTCTGCTAAGCAAATAATGTGGGCCGGGATATTGAACTTTGACCTTTATGAGATTGTAGTCGGCTGATCGGGTCACAAAATTTGAAAAAAATAAAGATATTCTTAGGCTAGTCAGGTATTCGGGGTCAAAGTGTTGAACTTAGACCTTAATGAGATTATAGTCGGCTGACCGAGCTTCAAAATATAAATAGAATAAAGATACTCTTAGGCTAAGCGGGTAGCCGGGGTCAAAGTGTTGAACTTTGACCTTTATGAGATTGTAGTCGTTTGACCGAGCTACAAAATTTAAATAGAATAAAGTTATTCTTAGGCTAAGTAGGTAATGAGGGTCGAAGTGTTGAACTTCGACCTTTATGAGATTGTAGTCGGCTGAGCGAGCTACAAAATTTAAATAGAATAAAGATGTTCTTTTGCTAAGCGGGTATGTCACACCCCCAAACCAGAACGACGAAAACGTCTGGATGAAGTCACACCTCGATAGGTTAAGGATGTTGGGTGTCGAGATTTTAGGCGAGTTGGCTGTTGATTGGGTTCTTCGGTTACTTCCTGAATCATATAGTGAGTTCGTTAGAGAGTACTATATGATGGATCATGACGTGACCCTCATTGATTTGACATGTTTGCTTATAGCTGCTGAATCAGTGATGATTTGGCAAGCTGGTTGAGCAAATTTGTCTGGTAAATCAAACTCCCAAACTTCAATGGATATTGAAATGGTGACATTGGAGATCCAGAAAAGGTAGATTCTGAGATAGTTCCTTGTGCCATTCCAAAAGAGTCCATTTAATTTTATTGCCAAGAGAAGGGGCATTGGAGACGAAGCTGCCTTATTTACCTAAGAGATCTAAGAGATGGGAGAGTCAAAACGTATGGCTCTACTTTAAGTAAAATCCAGCAACTAACTCTTTTAAGTTCCTATTCTATATTCTTGATACATGATGTGATAAGATTACATTTTGATGTTTTGTAGGATCGAAGAAAAGAAAGGAAGATTAAGGGAAGAAGTGAGTTGAATCTAATCGTGAAGAAATGGATTTCGATCACATTGCTTAAAGATTAGATTCTTAAGCTACTACTTGGAGTTAGAATAGATTGCTTAGGAATATGTAATAACATAGTTTTTCAATTGCATTGTAAGGACAAATTTTTCCGCAATAAAATAAATTTTGATTTTATATTATTTATTTATCCTTGCAATGGCATGTATGAAAAAATTGATGTTTGTAAGTTTCTATTATTAGCAATAATGGATTTGATTATTAATTATGTTATTTGTGGAAAGGTCAAGAATTACCAAATAAGGAAATTTTCTCATCGCCCAAGTTTCAGTTGGACAGAAACTTGGAATCATACAACTTAGTTGCATGATGAATGAAAAATTTCATATTTGGAAATTAGACTAATTCGTTGACAAAGTGTCAAGTGAAGGACTAGGAGATCGAGTACACAAGGTTGTGTGTTGATCAAGTCCACCACAAGAGTAACAAAGATATCCGTCATGATTTACTAAGGTTAAGTAAATATGATTATACTTATGAGATTAAGTATAATTCTCAGTTGACTGAAAGAGTTTCAATAAATAGCAGAACGAATAAAGAAGAATCAAGTAGGCAGAAAGATAAAAGTTTCTCTATTCTAAGAAGAAGGGAGAGTACCTTTTATTATGTTTTATGATAGGTATTAATGATTAAGAACCATATCACAATTGGTTCTCTAAGGACATCTTAGTGCACTAGTATGGCTAAGAAGAGGAATCGGAAATTGTTGAAATGGTTAAATCAAAAGGATGAGTCATACTTTGTTCCAAAATCAAGTCTTAGAATCGTACTCCAAGATTGTGAATTGAGTGACACACATTCATCAAATGTGAAGTAGAAAATTGTTTTCCTACTCCTACACATTTGAATTTGGTATGTTGTGATGTCTTGAAAAAGCCATAGACCAACTAAGACCAAATGTGTGTAATTTTTGTCTTGATATAGACACACACTAACTTTTGGATATTTTTTTTATCAAGAAATGTTCTTGATAAGAGAATCTAATATGTCAAGAGGTCAGTGGGAGTCTGAAGATCTTGAAAGGATTCAAGAATTAATCAAGAGTAAACACTAGCGCACGACTTGAGGTTTGTAACATATCGTGTTCACAAAATTTTGTTTTTGTGCCATTCCGATTTAAGTTGAATATGCAATGTGAGTTTTGTGAGTTCTCATGTGGATTGAATAGAGTTAAGACGCCCTAATCAATGGAAAGTACATTGATAGGAAGGGGTAATCTTATTGATAACTTGGAAGACATGGTGGGCACCCGTGCTGCCATGAGGCAAGAAATTAAAATTAAGTAAGTTCAATCCATAAGAGTTGAATTTTGTTATGATAAATTCACATGGATAAGAAAACAAACACCTTAAAATTTAAGTGTCATAATATTTCTCTCTATTCGTGAAGAAATTCTTTCACTAGGAGAGATTTTAAGAAGATAGTGGTTGTGAAAATTGCGTTCTCAAATTCGATTATGATTACGGCATCCCTTTTCGTAATTCGAATTGTGAGATTTGGAAATTAGTATGAATTGTTTCGACACACATATGAGCTATCTAAGGCAAAGGTGTATAAGTTTGAGAAGCTTAGATAAAGGATTATCAAATCATTAGGTATTATAAATATGAACTTAAGAAATTCAATAGGTATTGTTTTCTGGAAGTTAAGTTGTTTTCTGAATACATGTCAAAGCTAGTGGGTGCATAAGTGTTATGCTTATATGATAATAACCATCATGATAGTGGGAGCATAAATGTTATGTTTGTATGATTATTATGGCAAGTATTGCAAGTTAGCAATATTAATTATTGAAAACAAGAGTCGTAAAGGGTTGAAAAGTTGTTTTGCTATAATTAAGGGAGAGAATATTGTACTTCGTTTCAAAATCTAAAGCTTAGATTGAGAAATTTTAATAAATTTAGTCAAAGTATACATAGTGTGTTCTTAAATTTTGATTATGATTACGATATCCCTCTTCATAGTTCGAATTGTAAGAACGTGACACATAAAATTTTATGGCAGAAGATTGATAAAGTATCAGATCTTTATGTAAGACATTATGCATCGTGCCCCATAAGCTTTGGGTAAAGGATCGATTGTAAATGCTATAATATTTGACCATTATAAAATTTTCCAAATGTCTAGCGCATTAAGAGGGGAAAAGGACTAGAACAGGTTTTGACTAAAATAATTAAACAACTATGAAATGACGATCCAAAGTTCGCTGAAGATTGGTTGCTTGTGAGTAGTTGGAAGTATGGTATTGGATGGACCATATCGACATTATTATGAATAGATAAGATTATATTAATAATGAGTTGTCATATGGAATTATGGAAATGTTTGCATATTGGGAGTTGGATATTGAGAATCTATGTCTGGATTAGAAACTTTTATGCAAGAAGGATGTTCAAAGAAATGTACTTTGAGTGAGAGAGATCATATCTATTGAATTGTTTCTGATAGAGATTGGCCAAGTCTTGATGATTTTGAGCTATGACGTTACGAAAGGATCATTGCATAAAATGATAGAATCTAGCATATTCTATAAGTGACAAGAATTTGATATTCTTATACTTATTAGAAGAATTAGGAGTTGTGAAATGAGTATGATTGAAAATGTGTTAATTTGATCTATTTCACAAAGTAAGGACCATAAGTAAACATTGTGTGCATGTTAAGAGCATGGGACAATTGTAGTAATAATTCAAGTAATAAGTTAATTACCCGAAACAACAATCAATGAGTAATCAATATGGTGATTAAATAAAATGTTGTATTTATACCCAGAGTTTGGGGCCATATGGGATTAGTATTATTCTTGTGTTTC